CGGCGAGCGCCGCGGCGTACTGCCTGGATGGACACACGTGTTGACTTGGTGAAGCACAGTGCATCTTGGGAACTGTTTAGACCCCTTCACTCCACATCAGCACAGATAACTAGTTGGTACTAACCTGCTGCTCCTCTTGGCTCGCGCTCTGGCGTAATACGCCTCGTAGGACTTGGGTTTCAGCTCCAGGGCTTTGGTGGCAAACTCTTCAGCTATTCCAAAGTCCTGTCCAGAAAAAGAAGGAAACCAGATTAAATGGTGATCACTAGCACTTTGGAACTCAGTCCACCTTCCTTTCGTGGAGAACCAGAGCCAGGTAGAGGGTATAATGTGTTTAGGGGTGTTAACAAATGCAGTCTGTATCCCACAGGAAGTCCAAACACCACACACTTCAATAAGCATTTCTGGGCTTTTTAACAGGAGTGTTAAATGGGTGTTATTGTTCTGTTCTTGACTCCGAACAAACCCGACTTCTCTCCCGTGTCCTAATGGATTCTACGGTTGGACGGTCAGAGCTGCTTTCCATCTCCGTGGTCCAAAAATAACCCCTTCAATCACTTGTTGGAAATGAAAAGTGACTGGCTCTTAATGGGCTTTTTTCATGAGCATGTTTATTGGACCTTTTGCGTCTGTGCGCATGTACAGTTGGGTGTGTGCCCGTCTGTGTGTGTGTCTAATATATCTGCGTGCGCTCTCTTGCCCAGCAAATCTATTTATCTCTAATATGCCAGGGCGGTGAATGGGGTGGGCTTGTTTTTAAACGAGTTTCTCCGCTCCCCTCATTCTCCTCAGGTGAATATTTAATAAAGCACACTGTCCTTGAGATGGAAGTTGGCATCACACCACAGCTCGGAAATACCGTTTAATGTTTAATGACAGCATCTTATTTGCGGGCTCAACAGCTCGCTCCCTCCACCCCCCCTTATCCGGTACACCTGCGGTGTGATGATACACGGTGTGTGTGTCTCTGTGTGTGTGTGTATTTTTCTCTGTGCGTGTGTGTGTGTGTGTGTGTGACAGATGACCTTATCACCATTAGTCATACACAGTGGCTGAGGATGACATTTTACCACTCCAGCATAATACCCTCTGCCATTTCTCTATTGTGCTAATTCCACAGTGTGTCATGAGGCCTACGGCTGTGCTATTAACATGAAATGAGATTGCATTAAAAGTAACATTCTGTAAAATAACTGATATAGAGTGATGTGTGCAGAGATATATCTGGCAATGTAATTCCATGTAATGTAATATGTGTTTTCACGGAGAGTGTGAGAGTGCGAATGTGTATATGACGTACTGTAATGTGTCTGTGTGTGTGTGTGTGTGGGTCTCACATTGGTTTTTCTGCGGCACCGTGACATATTGAGGTACAGAGACACCCTTAGCTCTTTGAGAGCCTTCAGGTCGTCTCCAAAGTTGTCCCGGGGGAACTTCCTCAGGGCGTACTGGTAACGCTGGGATGCCTCCTTCATCCTCCCTTTCTGGGGAGACGAGGGAGGGAGGGAGAGGCGAGAGAGGGACAAACAATGATAAGAAAAGCATAGAATAACATTGTGATAGTGAGCACACACACACACAAACCTTATACAGCAGGTTTCCCTCCTCCATGAGTTTCTGCAGGAGGATGAGAAGGACATCTGGTTTGGATGTTGCCATCGCCCACGTGGCGTGACCTGTAGGCGGGAGAGGACAGCTAGTACACACGTGTTACAGCGCCCACACAGAAGGCTAGGAAAGCAAAGAATATACCTGATCGATCATAAGGGGACGTTCTGTAGCCTTTTAGCGTGTAGGAAGAAGTGAGGAGACAGAGGGGGGGGACACTTGTTTAGAGAAACCTCCTTACACCTCCTTTACACACCGCAGAATGTAAACACTGACAGATCAACTCACTCGGCTTGGGTCCTTTTTTCAGCAGCGCCGCCACCACGGCCGTGTTCCTCCCGCCCACAGCTCTCTCCTGGAGCCTCCCACTGCTCCGGTCCACCTGCTCCACCACTGCACCCTTTTCCACCAGGTACTGGACCTGTGGCGAAGGAGGAACAGACACACACCCCGTGCATCAACATAAAAGTACATCGTCATCTAGAATCAGGGTCCATTTTGAGAGCACCCAGGACATTTTAAGGCGTGGCAGGGTATCTGACAGTAGGAAGTATCACAATGAGCCACACCATCTCCGCGTCTCCGTTGAAGGAAGCCAGGTCCAGAGGGGTTCGTCCGTTCCTGTCCGGGTGGTCTATCTCCGCCCCCTTCTCCACTAGCAGCTGCACCACGGCCGGATGACCTTTCAGACATGCCCAGCTCAGAGCCGTCAGACCCTCCTTGTCCTCAGAGGCCAGAGATTCTCCTGATTTCAGAAAACATGCGGATACATAGTTCACCCGGCTGCAGCATGATTGTGCGTCCACTCACTCATAAAAGTATATTTTATGACACCACTGAAGCGGTGAGCCCTCGTACGGTCGTCAGATATCGGAGTGCCGTACTGCGTGACCTGTGCTCCGTCACCCTGCGGTGATCCTTGACCTCTCACCCTTAGAAAGCAGGAAGTCAGTGGTGCTTAGGTGGCCCTCGCTGGCGGCCACCGTCAACAGGCTGCGGCCCTGTTTGTCCCTGATGTTAATGTCCAGACCACGCTGGAGAAACACCTCCGCAACCTGGAGACGGAGAAGCAAAACCGAGAGACAGAATAAACTAGCATCCGGACTGCAAAGTTGGAGAGGAAGACGCCGAGACGACTCATCGGGACGGTTTTCACCTGGGGGTGTCCATGTCGGACACAGCTGACAAGGGGGGCTATGCCCCTATGGTTGGGTTGCTCTGCCCTGGCGCCCTGCTCCAGTAGGAACACGCATGTGTCTGTCCTGCCCCGCCCCGCCGCAGCACTCAGAGCTGAGAGGAGGAGAGATGGAGCCAGAACAACTGAGGTTTTGGCCTTACACATTTATTGTTTGAAATCTATTCTCATGTAGTGATGTAATGTTAGTAGATCTAGAACCACAGATGCTGTACAATTGAAGGGCATACCAGATTCAGGTGTAACTGAGCAAGGAGCGAGAGATGGAAAGGAGAAAGACACTGTATCAGAAACACAATACCATAAGAGCTACACACCCCTGACTTACAAAAACATTTTTACCTCGGCCAGATTTCACTGAGCACCACGTCTTGCACTCAAGAGACTCTAGTAGAGGCTGGCAGAAGTGTAACATCTGGTCCGGCATCCAGGGAAGCATGTGATGGGCAGAGGCCCCCATCCATCTAGAACATGCTCATCTACTAAATTGTACCCCATATTCTAAATAGAGCACCACTTCTTTCGATCGGCGGGCAATAGTCCTGCTATCAAAAGTAGTAAATTATATAGAGAATAGGGAATGATTTGGGATATGAGACCAGAGAAGCCGAAATCAGACAGATATGAATGCTAATGAAGCCTCCTTTTCTTTGGGTTGAGGAAAGTCGCATGACCGAGGTGACATCACCCAGCTGCTTCTGATAAACAGCGGGGAGGGGATGATGTCATGAGTGACATCTGCAGGAGCATTGTAGGGTTTTGCTCCACCCGTCTGTCCCACAGGGAGACCTCACCTCAGCACAGACGGTTCCACATGAGCTCGTAATGCAATTACAAATCGCCTAACTAATTTCATTCCCTCTATCTTGTTTTCCTTCAAGCCAGAGCGTGCGGTTTGCGAGAGAAAAAGGTTGAGATTACAAAACACTTTCATAATTAAAAGATTGTGGTTATGATATAATGTTTTTGGAAGACTTTGTCTTGTGATTCAGCGCTACTCAATCTGAGAGAAGACGTGGCCAACTCATGAATCAATGTCACGTTATGCATTTACGCTTCAACATTCTGTTTGTCCTACGAATGTCAAAGTCAAATTTCTGAGGAGCGGTTGAGAAAATGTGGAGGATTCTGTTACCCTGGCAGGTGCGAGGTGTCACATGGCCAGCTAAACAACGATCTGTGGCTTTAGGGAGGACTTAGCATATTTACTCGATGCTAACAGCCTGGTTCAGATGGTTAGGCCTGCCTAAAACCAACCAACAGCTGCGTCCTAGATCAGGGCTTACCAACATTTTTCTCCACAGAGGCCATTTTTTCACATTTGAAAAATGTCTCACACCACCACTTCGTTGTTTTGCGACAAATTATGCAGTTAGCCGAAAGTCACCTCCAAGAAGTATGGACTGTGAAGATGGCACTCTGTTATGATGATAAACAAAGTCTTGTTGGACCATCTTTCAGGATGCCAATAAAGTTTGCCCATTACTATAAACGTGGCCAATAATGCTGGCTCAACTGTTTCAAGGGTGCCAAAAAAGATTGTCGCCAACTGTAGGCTGACAGAATTAACATCCAGAGCGCATTACACAATATTCTGGTTTGTATAATTTATGAAGCCACAATATTGTTTAGTTCATATTTAATTCTACGTGAACGTGAAATGTGAATTATATAAATGCACTGGCAATATAAGTGCAATTGGCTAGCGCTGTCTGGGTTGACGATAGTAGCTTTGTCTCGTCGTACACTGTGATTTCAATCAAGGTAGTTCCTTCAGGCGCGTGAGCGCTCCGGACTTCCTTGTTGACCAGGAAGAGAATCATACATCCGATGTGCTTCGGAAGGCACTTCTGGACATCGACTGTCCAGAGTTCGCTGGACGTTTCTGTTAGGTTGGCTGCTGCTGCTCGGGCACATGTGCTGCTGCAGCGTCGGTTTGCATTTTGCACAGTGCTCTTTCATCAAACACCCCCTTCTCTATCCATCACCAATGTCTTCATTAATTATAGCACAAAATCCAAGACAGATGTAATGTCAGCTCTGCCCTCAACAGGCAACCTGGTCCCATCATTTTAGCCTCTGGGGCAGATTGATGAGGAATAAGATTTATTACGAACAAGGCTCCTGAATACTGTGAGTGTCCCTCTGCTTCTGATCATGCTGGGTGTGACACGTAGATATCCTGTTGCTGTGGCAAGGCTCAGCTCAGTAGTTATAGCAATGGACTTGAAAGCCAGGGGTAGTAGGTTCAATTCCTGCTGGGGCCTTGAATGTGTTCCCATGTTATGATTCAGAGGGATTTTGTGTTCTGTATTAATCCAGGCAAACATATTAGCTGCACACACTGCAGTGAGCAAATCCAAAGCTTTCATAAACTGGCAACACTGTCAACTACTTTCCTATAGCTATAAATACCACTTCAGTCTGCCGTGTACACAGATGACCTCGTGTGGATAATAAACAAAGCAACCAGATAGGATAGTCATTTCTCTGATCCGTATTATTTCGCTCACGTACAGTAAACCTTTGGTGTCTCACCAAAAGAGGGAGCGGAAAGGCAGACAGACAGTAGCCTGTCCTCCAAAAGGGAATAACTTAATTTATCTCCTCTAATGAGAAGCCAGCAGGCATGGGAACACATTTGCATAGAGATAGGACAATTTCACAAGATGACAGGCAGATGTACTCAAGGGTTTCTGTCACTGAATAGATTAGAAGAGCTGAAGTGGAAATAATTTGGCATAGAGTACCGCATCGAGGTCTCCAATGAGAAGATCTGTCAATGTAAAACCAATATTTATAGAGTAGAACATACAGAATGCTAAACCCAAAATAAAAAAAACAATAAAGACCTCAGTATTGTTTCCAATATGGTACCGTCAGTAAGGCAAGTGTCTATAAAGGACACAAATATATGATTCCTCAGTTTCCCTCCAAATAGCCTAGTCAGTATTACACATTCCCCATTACGAGGTTATTTACATACAGCGTTGCCTCATAAATCTCCATACCTTTAGACAACGATGGTACGACTGGGAATGAGTAAGTGTGTTACATTGCCCCAGTCTGCGGATTTCCTGGGAGCTATAGTAACAATTATGATTGTACTAGTGTGTAATGCATATATATGTTTATGCCCGAGCTCCTAAACCTCTGTGACAGGACAGAAGATATTACCATCTGATGTCAACACCAGGATTTGTTGCAAGACCATCACAATCTCATAAAACATAAAACCTACTCTGTGTTATTCTTCATCAACGCAAAAAGCCAGTAGAAAACACTACAGTAGTTTCGAACCTGAGCTAACGATTATAGAGCCCCCCCGAGCACAAAAACAGGAGCGCGGTAACAATCACTGAGCTTTGCCACAGCCACACTACAGTAAACAGCCCTGGCAGTGAGGAGGCCTCAGAAGCTCACTAAAAAGGAATGATTAGTTTTTTACTGTTCTAATTGTGTTGGTAATGGGTTTATAATAGAACCAGGGCACCTTGGAGGTTTGCATATGTGGCCAATACACCCATGTTTCTTATTGCTAAAATGACCTCCGGTGATAAAACAGAGCTAGTCATCTTTCGGGAGGCAGCAAATAGGACGGTGGGCTACATACCAGTCTCTCCCCAGAGTGTGTCCGGAGTGTCTATTTGCAGGGCCGTATCTTCGCCTTTTAGCTCCAGTAGACTCTTCGCCACCTGCCAGTGAGACAATATGGTGGATGTCTTTTAAACGCAAATGCTCAGAAGTTGGACTGCCAATGTGAAGGGTGTGTATTGGTTAAGTGTGTGTGTGTGTGTGTGTGTGTGTGTGAGCGTACGTGTGTGTGTCCCATGCTGCAGGCGGCAGTCAGGGCCTGTTGCAGGACTTGGCTCTTCACCCGTTGCTGGTGGGGCCCCTCTTGAGCCTCGGCGGGGCCCCAGTCCTGGGTCAGCAGGTTATGGATGATGTCCGGATGACCCCTGAGCCCGGCGTGGACGAGGGCACACTGACCATTCTTGTCGACGTGACCCACCTTTTACGGCAAAATAACACAAATTATAATCCCATCTACGTAGTCCATTTCCCAGTGTTCACAAACAGATTTACGGTAACCTTGACTACAGACCGGAGCATGCATAAGTCCGGCTACTCTGCACTGACCTTGGCTCCCTTCTTACAGAGCAGGCCGACCAATCCGTTGTGTCCCGCCGCCGCGGCCAGACAGAGGGGTGTCATCCCGCTGTCCGACGGGCAGTCTACGGGCGCCCCGAGCTCCAGCAGCAGGGACACCATCTCCGTGTGACCCAGGTGGGCATGTACGCCCAGCACCGGAGCCCGGCCGAGCACCTCAGAACGCCCGCTAACGCTGGCCCCGCCCAGAATCAACAGACGACTCACCTGTGTGCACAAAACCCCAGTTGATGTGTGCTCTGTTGGGTTCAGGCTGGGTGTTTGTAAAAGCACTTTGTAACAACTATGAGTTATTTATAAAATACATTTCACCTTGATGTTGGGTGTGTAGAGGTGTGTGTGTGTGCGTATGACTGTACTGTGTGTGTACGTCTCACCTTCACATTGTGTGCTTAGAAGTGTGTGTGTGTCTCACCTTCATGTTGGGTGTGTAGAGGTGTGTGTGTGTGTGCGTCTCACCTTCACGTTGGGTGTGTAGAGATTCCTGAGGGACGCCAGGGCAGCAGAGAGACTGTCTGTACTGTAGCTCACCCACAGAGCCTGTAAAACACTGGAGGACACACCTGTTCTCCTACTCTGACCCTGACAGAGACAGAGAGAAAGGGAGAGAGACAAATTTTAGGTAAACGCACCAGTGGTTCATATTTCTTTGGCGAATTTTGTTCAGGTGGCCTTTAGAATGACATCCAATGTCTGGACTATATATACACATACACACGCACACAAACACTTGCTAATACCTTGAAAATGTGAGCTTTAAGGATATGGTGGCCTAGCTCCATGGTCTGCTGTCGGTTCAGCTTGCCCTCCTGTCTGGAGAACATGAAGGCCAGGAGAGCGTGGCCACTCCTGGGGTCACAGAGGAATTCGCTGCTCTCCCCGTCTGCCCTCCACACCAGCCACTCTCTGAAGGAGGGGTGGAAGAGCATGCGGGTCCCGTCCCTGCGCCTCACCTGGGAAGGTCACAGTGTTGCCATGAATCGACAGGTTTCTCTAGGAGCTTCCAGATCACATCAGGTGGATAAGTGGATATATGATCACCAGGTCAAACATCCTAAGTCGTCACCTGGGAACAGCGGCTTGCAGAATATTCCTGTTCCTATCATTCATTATTTGAACCACAGCTCTAGCGAGAAAAGCACCAGTTTATGCATACGTCTCCAGCTTCAGTTGGTTAATTTAAATCGTCTGACGGACAGACTAGGAAGGAACTAACATCATGTGGCCACGCCTCTGGCTTCTCACCAGAAAAGAGGCCAGAGTCTCCATGCGCTGCTGGAAGTCCTCCCAGGACATTTCCCCTTTGATGCCCCCAGCGTTCAGCGCCCGGAAAAGCTGCTCGTCTGTCATCGGGTGCAATGAGGCCAGTGCCACGTTAAGCACTGGTAGCGCCCGCTCAAAGGCCTGGTCACTTTTGAACCCTGTGCCGCACTGAAGCAGGAACACCTAATGTCAAGGACAGAAAAAATACAAAAATAGTCGAGTCTTTTGTGGTTTTACATAATCATAAGTGGAATCACTACCATACCCTTGTCAACTATCAAATTCCAAATTTGAAAGCAATTGTTTTTCATGACATGGGGCACATATTTTACAGAACACTTCATGGCTTACTCTCCTTATAAAAAGGTTAAAGGTCAACTGCACCATAATGTTGAACTACGGGACCCTATCCTGAACCCAGAAGCACAGCTGTGAGTGTTAAATAAACACATCTGGTTTCAGGCCTCAAATAAAACGACAAATTGGCAAATTAATTTACCTCAGCCAGAGAAACAGGCACCACCATATAGTTGCCTCCCTTGAGCACCAGGTTGGCTGACTGGAACAGGTCCAGGATCAGTTTGAGGTACAGAAAGGAGCCCTGGCTACGGGAGGCCAGGTGGGTGTTGAACTTGCTGAGGAGGAGGGGGTCCGGGGCGGTGCCGTTGGGCGTGGTGACGTTCAGGGCGATCTCAGGGCTGGCAATAACACGCCGTTGGATGTAGTCACTCAGGTCGCTGCCGATCTCACTGCTCTCTGGAAAGTCATCTAAGGTGATTCTGGGAAAGGGCAGGAGATTGGTGATCTCCTGTGGAGACAGAGAACAGCGATTACATTGTATATGTATCCATGTTGTGCACTTTAACACTTAACCGTCAGAGATTAAGAGTACAAACTGCCAAACAACACTTATGTGTGAGCATGGTAGGTAGGGGCAACAGACACTTTTAACGTAATGCTCTCGCTGGTCCCACTCCAATTCACTAGAGGGCGATAGAGTGTTTTGGTGTCATTTCTGGCGAAGACCTCTTGATAGTAGTAACTGGCTGGATGATAACATTGGTGTAAAAAAAGTACAAACATCATTCAGCCATTTTAGCCCCGCCATGTGAAAACATATTTAATATATATTTGTATTACTTGCCAGTTTATTCTACGATGATCCAGTATGCTAATATATTCACATTACAAAATAGAAAAGCCAGTTTGTAGGTTTATAGTCTTGCCTCTCAGTAACACCTGCTGTATGATTTAGTACAAACATCACACGATCGTACTCTCGTGACCACAACTCCCACGCGAGAATCGGCAGTAAATACAAAGAAACAAATCCTTCACAGACCGGAGAACTCTAGGGTTCGCCTCCTGGCAGAGCAGAGAAAACCCTGTCCTGTAGTCGCGACAGGTTAGTTGATCGAGGAAAACCACAAAGTAATAGTGATGATAGGAACGGCGTTGTAGGCTTCTTGGATTGGTATTTGTGCCAGGACAACAGATTAGTCAGGGAGAATCTGTCGCCCATCACCTCAGGCTTCTGACGCCTCCTGGAAACATGACACGCAGTAACTGTGTAACACGTTTAGCAGCACCTATTTGCTATTTAGTGCTGTTGAACGGAGAGCTTTGGGTCCCGGCCAAAAGTAGGTGTTATTTGGGATGGAAGGAGCTTTCTCACTGATTCACATCAAATCTCTCCAAGTGACAGATGCTATCAGGAATGAGGACTTTCGAGCCAAGAAAAGAAAGAAAGGTATGGTCATGAACAAACAAAAAAATAATGAATCCCCAAGTAATTATTTAATTATTATTACTGCTGTTTGATTTCTTGGCTGGG